ACCCTAACCCTAACCCTAACCCTAACCCTAACCCTAACCCTAACCCTAACCCTAACCCTAACCCTAACCCTAACCCTAACCCTAACCCTACTTTATAAGCTAATTAATTATTACTTATATCTTAGTAATCTACTAAGCCTGCGCGTTTATATATTACCTAAAATTCTAGAGCTTAGTAATATTAAGATTCTCCTCCTTATTATTAGATGCTTTAAGTATCTTGTTGTTTTCTAGAGTTAAGCGTACTAGCGTAAAAGGTCTCTAGCCCTAAGCTATATTACCTTAAGTATTTCCCTAATAAGCTATTAAATCTTAACTAGGTAACCTATTAGTTAAAACGTCTACTAATTTCTAAAGTAGTTAAAGTATTATATAAAGTTAGGCTATACTTCTCTAAGCTTAGTCTATACTAAAGTAAAATAAGTTAAAGTAGTAGTTTATAAAGTATTATATAGAAGATTAAGTAGAAAAGAGTTATTATTATTAACTAAAAGGTAATAATACTAATTCTATAAAAGATAGAATAACTAGTTAATAATCTAGATAAGAGATAAACTATTTAAGTTAACTATAATAAGTATAATAATAAAATCTATCCTTCCTATATACTTATTAAAATCTGTCTCTGCTATTCTAGCTATCCTAAGTATAAGAGATATTTATAATAGCTCCGCTATCCTAAGTAGTTCTGCTATCCTAGATAGTTAGCCTTAGCAGGATATTAGTTACGTAATTAGCGCCCCGCGTTAATTATTACCTTCTAACGTAAACGTCGGTTAGCGCTCCTTACTAATTCCTTTATTAAGGGTGGAGTTCCTTTTGTTGCTTGTAACATGGTCTTCCTTCATGCGACCCGCATGAAGAAGCAATCCTTTGTTACCTTGTAACACTGCGTGCAATGCGATAAGGAATACGACGTCCTTCAGAACCATAAGAGAAGCTGCGAATGGCACGATGGTAAGTCGAATACTCGGCCCTCAGCGAGACGTATTCTCGAAGGCTTCAGCCTGCTAATCATAGTCAGGTTTACAAGAAGTAGATCGGGAAGGCGACATCTGGGCCGATCACGACGAGAGGTGCCACGGCACAATCGATACAGAAGAGATGCGCAAAGAGTATCCAGAGGGCTTCTTTTGGGATTGCTGCGATAAGCCTGGGGATGCAAGTGGCTGCAAGTCGGGTAGGCATCGGCCAGACCACACGAAGAGAGTAAGGCAGTCACTCGATCACGCAAAGAGGGCAAGGCAATCGTAGAATAGCAAGAGAGACCAAGAGCATATTGAAAGTAAAAGAAAGAAAGTAGAAAATGTAGAAAGGAATGCTTACAGTTGCTTTTGATTGCAAAAGGTCAAGGTCTGCAGTGGAACAAGATCCTGGTGAGGTTGAAGGCTTACCATGCTTGTATGAGCAGGATCGGGATGATGACGACGAAGTGCAAGGCTGGGAAAGTGCAACAACATAGTGGCTTCGTAAACATAGCTTATTTGCAGGCTTTGAAATCGAAGGCTTATAGATCAATCACCGTGTAAGTGAGTATGAACATGGAGGAGCAACGCAGTGATCGAACTGTATCGGCAAAGCCATCTTCGCGAATTGTTTCAGAGCGCAAGGCTGCCGTGCGAGCTGCGGCGTCCCCTGAGCTTTTGCGATAGATAGAGGAGGTCGAGTGCCAGTTACTGGCAGCTACAACTATTGACAAGGTGCCAACACGGGCGCTTGGTGTGCGATACGGTGGTTGGCCTCATTTAGTGTACTGATCGGACAAATGCTGAGGACCTTCTGAGCACGATTAAAGAACAGGGTGAAAAAGAGTGCCGCGACGTAGAGGACGAGGAACTCACTAGCTGGTTATGTAAGAGACTAGTCGTGTCAGGTCGCGAGAGCGCTGAGATGATACAGCAATTTTGGGTGTGGACGCAAATGATAGTCATGGCGCGTGTGCAATAACGTTCAAAGATAGGAAGAAATATATATATATATACACTTAGCACCAAACTGTGGTCGTCAATTTCATGAAGCATCTCCGGCAACAGCATGCTGTATCTCATTCGACAATCCCCGACGATAGAAGTATCTTACTTGCGAATGATACAATGACCTTAATATGCATACTCGGATTTGACCTGATCTGTACCGTTCATGGCCATCCATTCCGCCACTCCTAAGTACCCCAGTATGGAATGCCCATGTTGACCAAACTCAGCTTGATGATGCCTCACAACAGCATCGGGCAATATATAGCGATGGCCTCTCCAAGATCGAAAGGCGAGATCATGGGCATGTCTAGTCCAATCCTGGTAATGCATGAAATCCCACGCGCGGATTGCGTGGCGTTCATAGAGATTGTTCAGTACTGTGTGAAAGCCTTGGTCACCTGCAGCCATCGCGGCGAATGTCAGATGCTGCACCAGGTTTCCGATGTTGTTGTCTTCTGCCCAGGCTTGTGACGGGGCTGACTCGGAACCATATGTGCATCGTATATGCTCGAGGATGTCTGTGAAGGCCATGCTTCGCGGTGAAAATTAGCGTAAATTCAGTCCAGACTAGAACAAGTTCAACCTCACGTGCTCACGCCACCACCCTGGGAGAAACCAGCGATGGTTATTTTCCTCGGTGTAGAGCCCTTCTCTTTGATGTTTCGTATTGCTTCCGAAAGTGCGCGAAAAGTCTCGTCGCGCATGCCGTACCACATGTCGCGGAAGAAGCTATGTACTCGGTTGCCACCATCGTATACAGCGTATGGTATGTCCCACCAATTGGGCCCTTTGGCATTGGCCCAGGTGTTCTTGACCAGCTCGTTGCGATCCGATCCCTCGAAAGCAATGGTTATATTTTCGTCGATGGCAACAAAGACAGCTCTGCGACTCGCATTGAGCCCAGTCCAAAGCTCTGTCGCCGAGTAAGACGTGTTTGGGTAGTAAGTGGGCAGTTCGTGGCGGAACGCAATGATGTCTGGCGAGATTGAAGCTAGCCAAAGTATCCGGGCGGCATCCGCGATATCTGGCCATTGCGAAGGTCCATCTTGCAATTCCGCTAGTCTTAGTGACATTATGAGTTGTGAACAAGCACTCTAGATGGGGTGTGTTATGCGGGAAGTGAGGAGAAAGGCGGGGTCCTCGGCTTGCGAGCATATCCGATCAGTCGAAGATCCTGCATTGGACACAGCATGCATGGATATTCTCGATGCAGATGCGACGGCATACGCAAGGCGTCAGTACCTTAATGCTAGTGCGGCGAAATCGTTAGTACCTAGGTGCTATTGGACTCCTGTCAGCTCCGATGTAACACGATCTTTTCAACCAGTGCGCCACTCAGCCGCTAAGATGCGCCACAGCCAACTTCCAGCCGAGGTCTTGCAGCCTCGTCCAATGTGTAGCCGTGCGATAGCGTGTCAAGAATAACGGGCCATAGCTTCTGTACTAATAGAAGTATCTACGTGTCATCGACTATGTTCGATGTTACAAAGCTAAAGCCAGTCTCAGCTTGACTTTGTGCACTATATAAGCCTCAGCAATGTCAAAGTAGCACGTGATTCTAACGGCCTGAATTTGAGTATAGTCAGTATCGTAAGTTGTTGGCTTCGCAGGGGTAACACTGGTTATTGCCATTGGATCTGCACAGAAGCTAAGTATCTGACCAATGCTACTTCATAACGGACATGATTGCACTTGTGTGCGCGCCAGTCGGCGTAAGGCCGCCTGCAGGGCCCTGGATCCCTACAGGACAATGCTTAGACTGTAGTACACAGCATAGCTGTTGAAATCGCTTATGGATTACATGTCTACCACAAAGGCGCTTGGTGAAGCGTCGCGGCCCTCGACTCAGCCAGCCACCAGACTGGTACGTATCCCTAACAGCACTCACGGGAGGTTGCTAGATGTGAAGGTATTTAAGATGTATTGCATAAGTACAGCAGTCACTATCTGACCTTCAGCGTGTTAGACAAATACGCAAAATGCTTTCCACCATCCGCACTGTCCTACACGCTGGCCTAATACTACAGCGGTCTTGCAGAATTGCTGCCCAGTCTTACCAGATGGTCGGCACTCCGGACAGAGGTTATTGTTCGTTCGATTTCGACAATCCGACTGGCTATTTCGCGTACAATGGTATAGATAGCGGCGGCGACACCCAAACAGGAAGCGGAGGCACAGATCCCTTCCACTCGTTTCTCATCATTTGTAACTTCCAGTTCATTGGTCAAGCGGACAGAGTTACCCAGACTGCGGCATATAGCAATACGGCTATTGTACCGACTATAATCGTGCCTTTCACCGATGTTCCCGTCACAAGCTTAGTGCCAGGGTCCAATGCTCAATGTACTGCTGTGGCCGGGACAACTTCCGATCCGTTTTTCCAGATCCAAGAGACTTACGTCCTCAATTCTCAGACTTCAGTAGCCCCTTCTACATCGTCGACGGTTGTGGTAGTTCCTACGTCAGTGTTGACGACCACAAGTAAGTGTGCAACCGAGCTGAACCAATTCACAATATCACCTAAGTATGCTAACGTCCTAACAGCAACAACGACCACCCTGATTCAGCAGACCGAGACCACAGTCACACCAAACACAGTAACATCCACTGTCGTTACAGGCACAAAGACCGTCCTTGGCAAGCCAACTCTGACTACCAAGACTGTCCGTATCACACCGTGGGCGCGAACGGTAAAACGAGTCTCGATTACCTACACAACTACCACGCTCAGCTGCATTCCACCTTCAAAGGTGGGCAAGAGTAGTCCCCACCAAGAAGGACGCGCTGAAGTCGCTGCCCGCGCCGTCTTAGCGCGTCAAGACAATACCGATATCGAGACCGCAACATGCTTCAATCCAACTTCGAGTACGCCAACCATCGTCAACACCTATATTCTCACTTCCACCACAACAAGCACGATCGTGGAGCAGGCACTTACTACAACCACCACCATCAGCACAGTCACTGCGCCAGCGCCAACGGCGATTCAAAACGTGCAAGCTACTTCTACACTCGTCCTTACATTCACCAGGTACAGATGGACCGTCTTGCCTCAGTCGACAGTCACCAGTACGATTTCGTTGGTCAACACCGTGACCAAGCTGCCGAAGACACCACTCAAGCCATGCGTGCGACCTACCCCAACACCGCCGCCGGGATCGGGATCAGGAACACCACAGTGCCAGAATCCAACTACAATCGTAGGGAATGGGTGCAAGAAGGTCCGATGCAAGAAGTGAGACGGAATCGTTTTCATAGATTATGGAGGTTATGACTTAGGCACATAGCAGAATGTATATCCTGAGTATTGCGGCTGCCATTTCTACACAACCATCGGTTCAACTTGACCTATACGCGGAACATCGACTAACGCGCATGATGTAGCGTTGTTATAGTATCATGAATACGGCTACCAAAACTCGAACGATCTCAAGATGGATCAATGATAGGGAAGCAGAGCCAGATATTATCAAAATACCAACCATGAGAGATGACATCGAACCAAACCCATCCAGCGCTGCATCCTCTATCGAGACTACCCGAGCAAACTCTGATATCAGCTGGATTTACGGGAAAGAAGTTAAGCGTCGCTATGTAGTACTCTGGACGTATATGGACGGCGCCAGTCCAATTGGGTGGCACACGGGGTACTGGGTCATTGGTGTGCGTTATACGGTAGTTGCTGGCAGGTTGGTTGCTGATATAATCACTTAGCGCAGCGTCAGCAAAACGGGGCGCACCGAAAGAATACTACAGACTTTGTTAGGACAGTAAAAAGCAACAGCCAAATCTTCCGAATGGCCCTGTATCTTGGGGAGTACCAAAGTTGCATTATACCCAGCATTCCTCAAATCCGCTGCTGCGAGACTGGCGATTGCCCCCCCGAGGCTGTGACCTGTACAAACCACACTGAATCCAGGATTCGCGGCCACAGCATTCTTTACAGTGCTGAAGATGCCATCTCTAACACTTAACCAGGAATCCCAGAATCCTTGGTGCGCATCACAGCCGTCGCAGATGGTAGTGGGCACGCGATTGAATCTAAAATCAATGATCCAGCCTAGAAGTGACGCGGTGCCTCTGAACGCCACAACTATGAGCCGATTGGTACGGTCAATCGCTATAAAGCCGGTTGTGTCGGTGCCAGGGGTGCTATAGTCATGTCAGCTACAGTAGCGACACTGCTGACAGCAGTGAAACCGCTTGAAGATATCTCAAATACCCCTGAACCACCCTAGTTGAACAACAATACTACAACAAACTGGACTGTACGTGTGACATACTTCTCGAATTCTAGTGCAGTAGTTGTATCCGCAGCATCAACGCGAGGGCAATTACCCACGTGACAGGACAGCTGCGTCCCAGGAGAGTTATTGTTTTCGGGACAGTAGGCTGCAGCGGCATACTGTTCCATCAACTGGAACCTTGATAGGACGTCCGGGCTGACATCTAGAATCTTATTAGTTCGAACAGATGCTTCGCACTGAATCGAAACTAGCCTCTCTGTTCAAGTACTGCCGGAGCAGCGAGAGCCAAACGAAGGCACGTATAGAGAATGGCAAACAAGGTGGAGAGCATTTTCAATTCTGTTCGTCAACTCTTGCCCCGTCTCAAAAAGGTTCGCGGGGAATAGATATACTGTTCAGTCGGCTAGATGATGATAATCTTTCACATGGCGACAGTATTTCGTATATGGCGATAGGTGGTCTGATGTTGCTGATCCTGCAGCCCCAACATATACAATTCGTGCGGAAAGATCGGATAGCAGCGTATCGAAGGCCAAGCGCTTGGAAATTCAAAAGTAATGGATGCTTTGATGTGTCCATCGATATGCGCCCCGCGACTGTTAGACTTTTTACTTCCTGCTTTGTTATCAGCACCAGGCCTCTTCGCGGTATTGGGTCAGGATTATCGAGCAGGCTAGAATGCAACCAGAACTTTGCCCACGGTATGACTGACTTCCACTGGTAATGATCGTGGCGTCGTGACGCATGTAGTGGCTGAAGTGGGTGCAGCGAAGATGTAGGACGTGCTGACGGCGGTGGAAAGGTCGCAAGGGAGACATCAGGACTCTTCTCATTCTAGGAGAATATGTCCCGCTGCTCCCCCAGTGACGCGTCCGTTGTGAACGGTATGAAGGACTGCAAAGGGGGAACACGTTCAATATTGAAAGCGGATGACCGTCCTTGTGGATCGTACGGATGTGCGGCGCAGGCCGCCAACGGTCGTCGCAATCGTCGCATTGTCATCGATGCCATCGTCCACTTATGGACATATTGTATGGATCCGCACTTCGACATGTCCGCCGTCCTCATGAATCATACGACTAACATGAGCTGATTACAGGCGGCCTCTGCAGCTTTGTCATAGTCAAGCCAAGCCCAGTACGAAGCTGCCATTGCGACGCGGACTTCCGATGGCGTGCGACAACCTAGCGCAGGCACCAGACAAAGCTCAGCAACATGCTCCCCCGATGGGAAACCTCAGTGCATGGGGCGATACAGGGCAGCCAAGGCGCGCGTCTGCCCAGCTAACTCCGACTCCACTTCCCTTACCGCAGTCAGACTGCTCTTCAAGGGACGAGAAGCTATTTAGCCTGCGGTGAGCCTAGCTATACCGTGTTTCCTTGCCCGCATCCTGTATATACCGCGTTGTATAAGTCTTATCGCTAGACCGTAGTCTTGTCGCTAGATGCGATCGTCGCATTATGGCCAGCGGTGGCGCAGAGAAGGACGACGAGTCAGCCGATAGCGGTTCGGAACAGCGTTGCGAAGCTGGGACGGTATGCTAAAGATCAGCGATGGCGAGGACGTCAATGGCGGTTGTACAGCAAGCTGCGACGAGTCTAGGATGCTCGAAGTCAGGCGAGGCATGGCGTCCAGGAACCTGGTGGGGCGCGCACCAGGCAGCCTGGATTCGCCGTAGTATTGTGGTTCGAGATAGCATTGCGCTATGCCGGAGCTCAATGGAGCACGCGTTCATGATTGCTGACCACGGATGGGAGCGAGCGGGACAAGGTGTTGTTGGTGGGTGAGAGTTAGAAGCGCAGCTAGGCGGCTCGGTCCGTACCAGGCGAGGCTAAACTCGAAGGCAGAGAATGCGTCTCGCTCCAGCATTCGGGTCATGTCTCTTCCGCGGCAAGAGTAGGCGCATGAGGGCTGCGACGAGGAGAGACCGCTCAGTCGGTTCGGTGTCTGATTCCATTGTTTCGGAGGGTTATGCGACACGATCTCGTATGACTGGCGGGGAATGGGTGGACGCGCGATGTGGGTTGCTGACTGGAGCAATTGGCCGGCGTGAGCGATGTCTCGACGCAGACAGTCTGCTGGAATCCATTGAGAGGTGGCCCGACATATTGGCGCAAGTGAAGGTGAAGGAGGAAAGCGCTGGACACGACGGTTACGCTCGCGTGCGACGCGTCGACAGGGTATGTCGAGGACGACGAAGATGGAGAACACTGGGAGGAAAGAGAAGAGGGGAGATCATGGTCGTAAGTGAGAACGAAGTGCTGATGAGCCTCCCTGGTGTGGTTGCGTCTTGGTCGTCATGCTCGACCAAGCATCGACGAAGCTGGCTCGCCACGAAGACGATGGCTGAGTCAGCAATGCCACGGGCTTCCCCGCACTACGCTAGCGGTTCTGCGAGCGCCGCGAAACTGACACGGTGCCAGATGCCAAAGCGCTCAACTTACCAGTTCCAGCACTACACCGAATAGTTGATATGGCGATGTCATCCGTCGTTGGGGTACAGTAGGTATTGCGAAGCTGCATCGCTCCATGTCATGTTAGTGAATTCACATTGTGGCCGTGTAGTGGTTGACTGTACAGCATATACAGATCCACTACATTTGCACGACTCAAAACCTCTGACCCCTCATAGGTAGACCTTCTTGCCCTTGCTCTGCACTGGTTTGGAAGCTCGTGTTGTTCTTTTCCACAAGGCCCAGCGCGAAATCGCTGCTTCCCTTCCAAGCTTGTCTCTCCACTATTGAGGCATCCCGTCCGTCCTGGTCATCGTACTATGAGTATCTCTGCCTACGTAGAAATGTCTCCGGCGCAGCCAAAGACGATCAAAGGGAGCAAAATAAATCCCAGTAAGATGAGATGGAAGGACTTTAGACCAGACGAGACCTTGCAGGGTCCCGAGCGCAAAAAGCACAGTGACAAAATATTCGCTGCAATCGACACCTTCACGTAGTGTTACCCGATCAGGCAGTTTCTTGCTTGATATACATCGCTGTGGATGTCGACGAGGCCTCGCTGGCAGATGCATTCGATCGTTTGGCGTCTGCGAGATAACAACTGAGTTCCACAGAAACGCTTCTTATCTATGATAAGGTTGCCGAGCTGTGAGGTGTCGGCAGCGCGGTCTACCACCCACAGTAACCTCGGCTACTCAGATCGCGCGGCACATACAGGAATGTCTACTTGTACCACGATAGGGTCATCTTATATAATCTCTCAACAGTAATACGAGTAATCTTCACAGCAGTTTGGAAGACTGGCAGGCAATAACAACATTATTATGAACGTTAACACCCGACACGACGTTATAGAACTCGTAAATCCGCCTGATGTCCGGGACGCTGCTGACCCTCATGAGGGCACGGAACAACGTTTTGTTCAAACCCGTTCTCCCTACGATGGCGGAACTGCAGCCTGGAGGATCCTGATCTCTGCTTTCATATTCGAGGCTCTGCTCTGGGGTGTGCTATCCCAACCCTGATCCTCATCGTAAGAAGATTAGAAAGCGTAAAGTTGGTCGCTAACTGCGAAGCTAGGATTCCCACTCTCTTTCGGGATCTTCCAAAACTACTATAGTCGACTCCCTCAATTCGCTTCGAATCCCTACATTTCTATCATCGGTACCTCAGCATCTGGTCTATCGTACATCGGCGCCCCAGTCATGATTCCTGTGATCAAGCGATACTCAAGATATCGCAAACACATGATCTATACCGGCTGTATGCTCCTACGTTCATAACCCCCTCCAGACCCCATTAGTTAACCCACTAACCCTCTTCTTTCACCTCAGGGCCACTAACCCTCCTCTCACTCCTTGCATCCTCCTACGCTTCCACCCTTCCCCTCCTAATCCTAACTCAAGGATTGTTCTACGGTCTCGGCTTCACTCTCTTCTACTATCCAATCTTGAGCATGGTAAATGATTTCTGGATCCAGCGCCGTGGCTTCGCGTACGGCATCTTATGCTCTGCATCCGGGCTCTCAGGTTGCGTAATCCCCTTCGCCATGGAGGCCGCACTGAACAGATGGGGGTATCGTGTTACGCTACGAGCGGCTGCGGGCGGGTTGGCGGTGGTGACGGGGCCGCTGTTGTTGTTTCTGAGGAGGAGAATGGAAAATGAACGGAGCATGAGTTCGACTCAGCCTAGGACGGACTGGGGGTTCCTGAAAGCGGGACAGTTTTGGGTTTATTCGCTGTCGAATCTTGTGCAAGGTATAGGCTACTTTTTCCCAGGATTATACCTGCCGTCATATGCGAACTCGACTGGACTGTCGTCGCGTCAGGGAGCGCTGCTGCTGGCTATCATGGGTACTGCGCAAGTTGCTGGGCAGATGAGTTTCGGGTACCTCTCTGACAAGAAGGTGTCGCTCAACCTACTTATCACTGTTTCGACAGCAATGTCCAGTATCGCCGTATTGACGTGCTGGGGTATGGCAAGGCAGTACGCGGTTCTAATCGTTTTTGCGATTGTGTATGGGTTTTTTGGGGCAGGGTATACGGCTATGTGGGCGAGGATGGGAACAGCGGTGAGCAATGACCCTACTGCTGCTTTTGCGGCGTTTGGGCTGCTCAATCTAGGAAAAGGGGTCGGAAATGTGGTTGCGGGGCCCGTTGGAGGTTCTTTACTCGGAAGTGCCGTGGACAGTACCAAGTTCGGGGTCGGTAAGTTTGAGGGGGTAGTATTGTTTGCCGGAGGTTGTATGATCGTCAGTGGATTGACGCTGGGGCTTGGGTACATGAAAAAAATAGGACACGTGTGTAAGATATTGATGGAAATTTGGAGCAAGAGCCGGGATCTCTAATTGAAGAACACTATTGCGCTGCGACCATGGTCATGCACTCAAAGGGACACATGTGGGTGCTTTATAAGAAAGCAGTTAGTTTAACCGCGTTTGGTCTCGATTATATCTTGAAGATATATGACGGTAAAGGGACGAGGGGTCGACGCCTTATCGTTTGCAACTAGTGGGTCAGTTCGAGCCAGTCTGCCGTATCGCGTGAAGGAGGGGATGAGAGGAAAGGAAGAGCAGATATGTCAAGAAGGTAATTCTTACAAGCCATTACAGAGTAAGTTCGAAACTAATGAAGGCAGTGAGTAGTTGGGTGGCATTATTAATACAATATGATATGCAAGAGAATTGATGTTCGAATTTGACGTCTACTCTCCAAGAGAAGCAGATGTGTGCAACATCGGTGGCTTACGCCACCGTCGATCAGACAAAGACTCATTCAAATCCGCCTCTTCAGCAGTCCTCTTCTTTTCTGAGGAAGGTGGCGTAATCGCAGAAAGCTCTCTCCGATGCTTCGATATGAAGTGCGCGATATCCTTCAGCGTCGGTTTGCCCTCTTTTCTACATCCCAGCCATTTGATGTTGACTAAGGGTAGCCCTTTACTCGAGAACAAGGCTGGAAGCTCCTTTGTTAAGGATTGAATCTGCATCTCGTTGATGGTGTCATTCTTCAGCGCAAACCCCAGATGCAGAAAGCGTGCGTGGGACGATATGCTAGATTTCTGCGCTGGACGCTCATTCTTGGGCTTGAGCTTCCTCAGCTCAATGTGTCGACTACTGCCTGGGATGCGCCGCCATAGTCTCGGGGGTGAGTCAAAACGTTCCTTTGCCATGCGCTCGACTAGATCGTGGGTGTCAAAGTAACTGCCATAGTTACCAGAGCTCTCCACGGCTAACTCTTTCAGGTGTTTGATGAGGCAGCAAGTGAAAGAGTTCTCGCCGGGCTCAGGGGTGGGCGCGCCGATATCTGAAGCGGCTATCATCTCGAATGTTCGACCGTGCTCGGGAACATTGCGGAGAAGGTCGCTGGCGTAGCAGCAGTCCATTATGGTGAGGACGTTGGCTTTGACCTTCTCGATCAGGGTTCTTTCAGCTTCGTTCCAGGTTGCACGAAGGTCATTGTCCACATCGTCAGTCCTGGTATCGCTGTTAGCTGACGTCCTTGGATTTTGTATTGGGATATGTACGGTGAGAACTCAAGGACCTTGAGAGCCTTGTCGTAAACACCATGACCGGCGTAATATACTACGAGTAGGTTGTTCGGATCATCGTGGTCGTACACCCAGCGATATATCTCAGCCTCAAGCTGAAGTTGCGGGTTCTTCTCTTCTAATTGTAACTCGGTCACGTCGTAATGGAAAACCTTCTTGAAGACGTTCGTCAGGTCATCAACCTAGTGGATGTTGAGTTAGAAATACAATGCCAAAGTGATCAGACAAAAGGATGTTTCCATACCTCTTGCCGCACGTCCAGCTGATCTATCGCGTCTTGCCATTTAATCACGAGAACATGTACATTGCGGTATCCATCTGGAAGATCCAGATGCTTGGCGATTGACTTGTCCCAGCATTGTTGAAGTTTTGCTTCATGCTGATCATCTTGCGGATAGCGAATTTCTCCAGGGTTCAGACTCAATGGCGAAGGAAGGGAGCTATTGTCGTTCACCGACGATATAGGTGATAGCGGATTGCGTACGTTGCAGCGACTAAGCGGTGCCATGATGCGAGAATGATTGGAAATGCGAATAGTGATCAAAGTTATCTTGTTGGCGAATGTGCTACATGTTCGCACATCTAGCCTTGTCACGCACATTTTGGGGGCTGCGAACCTGAGGCTGTGCTTGGTCACGGCCCCATAATGCCCGTCAGCCACCGAACACGTTGATTAGCCAGCATGCAGGCAAGACCAGCCACACGATCACGCAGAAGGTCCTCGAATCTCAAAAAGGCTAGCGTTTCTGGAACTCCGCCTTGTAGAACGCCTAGTCTTGTGCGATCATTGGCGGGGTCAAAGCAGGCGAACGATCAGTCACAATACACAAACTGCTGCCTGTGAGAAAAGCAATGATAGCTGACCGGCAAGCTGCACCTCGCCCACCATCGCGACAATGAGGGACCTTCAGCTGAAGATGGAGAGGGCGATAAAAGCCTTGACTCAGCCTAACATGAAAGGCTGACATCCAGACCCATCTTCGACTCTTCTTACTCGCAGTCATGACCGACGAAGGACGACAAATAACGGAGGAGGAGCATATCGATGGCCCGCAGCAGGTATGGCCCTATCTAACAGTATCATCTGTGTTACGCACTGATTGAGGGTAGACGGGAAAGGTTGCAAGGGATCGTGCAGGGGTAGTGCCAGGTGTGGGGGAGGAAGTAAGCGCTATGCACGCCCATGTCACGTAAACCTAAACGCTGATTGGTCGCAGACCGTCGCAAAATACGTTCCCGGAAACAAGATTCAAATCACGGAAGTCGTCGCCATGAAGCAAAAGAAAAAGAAGCTTTATGTCGCGTTCAGCCGAAGAACCTTAAACAAGAAGATAGAGTACCAATTGACTGAGACGGCTGGCGATACCACAAAACTCTACATGAACGGGAAGTGGTTTCCTCAGGATCAAGTCTATGTGGTCTGAGACACCTGAACCAATCAGTACAACGGGGCTTGACCGGTGAAAAAGCTCATCGATATTTAGTTCCCAGCTGAGAATGTCAACTGTGTGCGTCTATTGAAGACTTTTCTTATGTCTTCATCGTCTGGTGATATCTTCGTGTTCCAGCCTCTTACATCATGAGTTCTCCCCCAGCATCACCGAATGAGAAGGAGTTCTCCAGTCCCTGTACACGGCACTCCAATGCGTCATCATCATCCACTCTTCGTTCTAGCATAACTCTCAAGTCGCTACGACACGTAGCAAACAGCTTCGGACTGTTGCTACCAAGAAAGAAGCCAGCTGATGTAGAACAGCAGGCTGACTCTACAGTTGGCGAAGACGAAGACGATGAAGAAGGTGATGGGCCTATCTTCCCACCGGGTGGGTCAGGGCCGTATCCAACTAAAGTGCGAACACTGGAAAAATGTCCGAATGGCTACGCACGACTCGCAGCCTTCAATGCAAGTGAACAAAACTTCATGCTCTACCGCGGCTTCAGCAGCGTTCACGCACGCCTCCTCTTAAGTCTTCAAGCCAGTATTCAGAAGCTCGAAGCCGAGCTAGACGGCATTGACCGCTTCCATGACACCCTTCCCGAGGCCTATAAGAAGCGCTTGCGATCCTGGGATCTCGACGTCGCAGCCTGCAGACAAGAGAAAGAGGAAGCAAAGGAAGACGGAGACGAAGACGAAGTCCGGACGCGAGAAGATATCCTAGAGGAACTGAGAATCAAAGTGAACCGGTACGACGAGCTACTGATCAAAGCGAGAGAGCTCATCTCTTTCCAACGGCCGACCGAACGTGATTACCAGAGCGTGAGGAACTGGTTTCACAATATTGCGCCCCTCGTCGACGAGGAGCAAGATTATATATTGTGGAAAGAGGATATCGTGACGCTCAGACATGGGAGGGAGTGGGCAGGCTTTGACGGCATGGTCGAAGCGATGTTACATAAGATAGACAGCCCACCTATTCAAGTGAGTGATTTAGATATCCCAGGTCCCAGAACTTTACTTACAACCCGTAGTGGCTCTTTCGGACCGATGATCAGAGGCGTAAATCCACAGATAAGAGAAATTACTATTTTGCTCCTTCAAGAGTGTCGACGCTGGTAAATCTCTGCATTACTATTGCGCTTTTCTTGCTGCTGGTAGCTCCGGTGTTGGCGATGTATCGTCTCTCAACTTTCAAGACTACCGAGTGCGTATTCGCAGCCATCGGGGTTTTGATGGTCTTCACGTTGCTGTTTGCTGCAGCTATGTCGCTGCTCACGAAGGCGAAGAGGCATGAGTTATTTGCTGCAGCCGCAGCGTATTGTGCCGTCTTGGTGGTTTTTGTTGGGTCCACTAACTTCAATTGACGTGAGAGAAGTCAGTCCTTGTGAGGAGGTTGACGTAATGGCTTTGGGGGATCACATGGTACGATGTGAGGCTACATCACAGCAACTGCGCTGCAGCCACGTAACTACTATATGTTAGTGCTCTACAGGAATGCGGCCAGTCTGTGACATCAAGTCGGGTGGATTAATCTATCGTTTCTTTGGCGTAATCACAATATGAAGAACGATAATAGCTTCCTGATCGAAATCATGATAATTCTTCAAGACATAGAGGCTTTGTCCGATAGGCCGCTGATTCGTGAACAGTTCCAACCAAGAAGCACGTCTAATGCTTGGCAATATGGCCTCCCCTCCATTAGGGAAGGCAACAGCGCGCAGGTGCTCGTGTGCTATGTAGAACTGTTATTGGCCGAAACATAGCGGCGCTCCCACATACAACTTTCGCAACTCTCTCTAGTTACGATTGTCGAAGTAACCTTTTTGGTTACCTAAAATCTGGTGCAAGCCTTGTTGTCTACGCTTATGCAACAGGCATATACGGATGATAGTTTTCCGCAGGCGGAGAAGGCTATAGGAAGAGGCGCTACCGCGAGCCGATGATCGCAAAGATCCTATCGCCACGACATGGCCGAGGGTTCGCTGAATTAGAGGATGATTTATCTAGAGGAACGACCTAGGCGTGAAACAGCGGAGAACGCCCGGAGAGAAGCGGAGGCAGTATAGGACGAAGAACAACGGACGTGTGAGAAGGCGGTGTAAGTCTAGAAAACGGTCACAGAGAAGACGCGCCCGACTATTCTTCTCAAGTTCTTCAATACATGCCACAGCAATCTCCACGCCGACCCCCTGTCTGGACCAACTTAACACTGTCGACACGAGGCAATCCCAGCACTGCGAACAACAAGTTTCCACTAGAAAGGTTAGCCCTATGGGCAGACTTCCTAACACAGCAGCTGACTGACAGGGGCGATCTTATGTAGTACGCTAGACTTCAAGAACTACGCTAACACGCTTAGCCTAATTCTGAGGCTCCAAACAGTACTACTAACGTAGAGTTAGAGTTATTCTTCAAGCAAGACAGATAAGCTTACTTGCTAGGGTAAGCTACGGATGTCCCGGAAAGCTATTGTAAGCGAAACCTATCAAATTAACCTTCGTGCATTTAAAGTTTAGTAAGATTATTAGGCCGAGATGTTCCGGTAAACGATGCGCAGCCTGTATACTTCTCTTACTACACGACTCAAAATCAGCGTAGGTTCACTAATCGCTTATAGCGGATTAGTGATTCTGCGTGTGACTAATTTACTCGTATATGTTCTTATATTAGCGCAAAGCTTCTTTTGGCTCTTGGAATCTTGCTTCCACTGCATTTGCTACTTCTATTACGACATCAGTGATCACAGGGTGTTTTCGCATTACAGCGAAAGCAGCAAACACGATCGCTAGAGAGGTAAAGAACAGCGGCCTGCAGAGTAGTGAGCAGTTCATGCAAGGACTTCTTAGGTTTCGGGAGCAAGCTGTTACAAGCCTTAGATCGCACTAAGATCGGCGAGATTGTGCAAGTATATTATTAAACATAGTCTGTGTTGCCCGTTTCGATTCGCGCAAAGACTTGTACCGGTAGAACAAACTATTGAGATTACCAAGAGTAAGATGTCAGCACGGGAAGCACTATCACTCCGGATGATCCCGAACAAGGCAAGACGACAGGGAAATGATGCTTTGCACAACTGAGAAGTCGGCCCTGTTCAGCAATGCTCCATCGAGGTCTCGTTTCCTGCAGAATCATAGCATCGAAGTAAACTCTGGCCATCGCGAGACATCTTGACGACAATATAAAGTCTGCTCGCCGGATGTGCTGGAATACTCAACTATCATTCACAATCATAAACTCTTCAGTCTACCAACAAACAACATGAATCTTCTGGTCCTTTTTGCCGTGTTCGCTTCTATCGCTTACGCACAAGACGGGGCATGTATTCTCACAAACCAGACACTGTAAGATCCATGTACTGACGGATGTCAATAGTTGTGTTTTATACCCGACGAAGGCGGACCTGGAGAATGTGTTCCATTCGGGCCAGTAGCTAATCGACGGTGCCGGGTATGTCTTATCCATCCTACGACAGTGGCAAACATTGTTGACACTAAGGTTCTGCGACAGGACGCACCATGTACGGGGCAACAAAATGATTGTTGGGTTACTGGTCTCAACTCAGCGAGGTGTTCATAAGCTTGAGAACTAGACAGCTAAAGTCGCGAGGACTTCTCGCCAGGTTCAAGCGAGCTGAGAAGACGAGCTGAGATGGTTGTGAAGTTAGCACGATTCTGGGTGGAAGTAATGGGAAGCTTCTGGTGTTAGGACAAGAGTTTGTTCTGTAGCGACTGCCGTGTATTCAAGGTGCGAGAGACCTTCCGGCTCCAGCGTTCGCAAATATCATATACGTTCAGTCGGGTGACCAGGCTCAACAGCTCATTTAGCATCAGTCAATGCTGCCCATGTTATGCGAGATAAGGCTCATCAATGCACAGACCCCCGTTGCGAGGGATAGGGCCGTGATCGGAATTCCACGATGTACCATTCTCGTCGTGTAAGCGAAGCAAAGGATACTCAGCCCAGCTATCGAGAGATTCCTCGTTGCTATTCACAGTGTGAGAGGACGAGGCTCTCCACGCGGGGACGCCGTGCAAGGTTCTGGAAGAAGAAGAAAGACTAGGAAGTCACGAATGAGCACGCCACGACACGGGACAACACACTTTCCCCAACTCATTTTGATTGCCACGTCGTTCTCTCTTCATTGCGTTCCCTCTTAATGTTCTTTTTCATTCTTATTGCGAATGACCATGTCAAGCCGCCCGAGCAATGCTCCGGCTGCTCGGTCATTGCGAGGATGCATGCCATGAGCTGCACGCTGACAGGTCCGCAGATTGGTGAGGGAGATTGCGTGCCTCATACCCTGCTTTCATCTGTGCTAGCATTTCTCGCGCTCTCTTCTCCAAACTGACTTCCATGCTCGGAAATGTTACGCGATGACATGCACTTCTAATAGACTGTGCAGTTGTTAGGTGGCATACATCGAACAGCTGAGGGGTTCATGGTGAAGAAGCTGCTCATTTCGCTCGAAACGCGCTGGAGGGAAGGCACACCTGGAGGACTCGCTCCTTAGGTGACATACAGTACATGGCATATCACAACCAATCGAGTATAGTGCACTCCCAACCATAGCGTGCTAAGTGAAACTCATCCTGATCACAGTGTAACCTACCGCCTCAACACTACGGCTTCGGATCGCTATACTCATCAAACCGCACAGTATCCAGTACAGACACCGCCAATCAAAGCTTCGCGACAAACGGAGAGCCCTTTTTCCTCATCATTCTTTTGCTCTCGAAGTGCAATCATTCCGTGTGCTCCGCCTGGCCTTGGCCTTTAGTCTTGTCTTGGTCTGCAGGTTCGCCTGTTGGGAGCCACAATCTATCAACAAGACTGAAACAGCAAGAGCACTTAAGACCAAGTTGCATACTTATTGTCGTGCGCCCTTACACGGAACAAGCCTTTGACATCGCCATGACGCATCGCGCGCAACCAGAGACGAATTCAAACTACTTCTTGCTCTCTCGGCACGTGCGTGAGAACCAAGGTTACCGCAGCGACAAGGCTGAAATCCTCCAGCCTTGCGACCCTGGAACTTGGTTTTCGCCACCCTTCCCTGTTGGACCTTAATCGCTATACTGTTGCAGACTTGGCCTTGGATCCTCAACGTCCCCGCCACAGCCTGGAAGCATTAGCGGCAAGAGGTCAAACCGTCTGCATGCTCCCAGCCTTCTCGCTCTCTTTTCCATATCACTTCTGCTTCGTCGCAAATACGACACCCTTCACAGTCCGATCCGTGCCAATAATGTTCCCCTCGCGCAACGACATCTTCTGTAGCGAATTGGTCCTTACACGCGCGCGCGATGGCCCACAAAGTTGTGTCAGACCATGAGATGACGAAGTCACCGTCAGTCGTCATCCGCCAAAGGTTACCTGTCTGACTAATTTTTTCAGGCCTCAAACTTCCTATACTAGCCTGTTGAACAGCGATTCGAACGGCGATGAGGGACAAGAGCACATAAACGAGGACGCACGCGACGTAGTGACGCCCTTGAAGCGCGATCACGCAAAGCTTCGCGATTTGCTGCGATCATTTCACGTGCAGTTCATCGAAACTATACTTAATAAAGTCACTGCCTCCTCTTGGAGGGCGGGCACAGAGAAGCGCAAATATGCTATCCATTGCAATCGCAGAATTGCTGCGAGCTACAGCTTGCTGCACCTTGTGCCTGTGGCTGGCGCTGTCACACTCCTTTGCCTTCAATGTACAAACTATTGGGTCAGTTCGTTACGAGATGACGCTGCTACGTTGCAATTTGCTGCGAAGTTCCATGAGTTAGCTATGCAATCCTCAATTGTTGAGATTCTGCTTTGCCTAATCCGCATGGAGCTGGTCAACACGTAACAGCCAGGGCAGACATTATGGCGAGACGATGCTGTAGCCAGGTACATGAAGGGTGTGCGTTGATTCGAAGAGAGCCTCTTCACCCTCGTACACCACTCTTCCGGTGCTCGCGCTCGTAGGACAGAGATTACCTCAATAAAGTGCAAGAAGAGCGCGGGCAGGGTGAAGTACCCGGGTGGTTTCTCTGAAGAGTGGCCTGCTATTCCTCATGACTACGTACCACAAGGGATGCCGCTTTAGCAAGCGTGTTATGACTCTTCACGGCTACGTGCTCCAGACGGGGTAATGCGGTATGTCTCATCCTTTTGTAAAGTAACTCATCATGCACGAGGATCGCTAGGCATAAACAGCTCGCGCGCAATGGCAGGTATGATCGAAGGATCCCTTCGTGTGGCGATTCGTGTCCAGAATCGACACCAATGACTCTTCTGTATAGGCTCTGGATCAATGTTGACCCCTGGATATTCGGATCTTACCTGGGTGTTGGGTGCGGATTGGAAATGAGACACAAATTTATGGACACACATCGGCCCGAATGCTATCGTTCCCCATCCAATAAGACATTGACATAGCACGAGTTGATGTTCACCTGGTAGCCGACATAGTTCTCTGATTGGTGTCGATTCTGGGCATGATATGGTACACTAAGAGGTATCTACAGTACTATCTTGGGTTGGCCTTGATCCCACGAGCAGATACCTCGCTGACGTCAAGGTTTCGTGTTGCTGCACTAAGCCTACGGCGCCCTAGCGTCCTATTGACCAAGAACATTCAGCCGCGCACTACTGCAACTCTGACTTTGAAGGTATGCGCTGCAGCCTTGCGGTCCCTCCTCAAACTTGGCCATGCCTATGGTCGACCAACTCAACTCACTCAAATGACCTACAGAATTATGAAGTGACCGGACAAGAGACTCCACAAAGGCTGCAGGGTTAGCGGCACGTCTCAACATCCAAACAACATAGTCCGACTACTTGTATCACAGCTTCCTCTCAGATTTCTAGCAATGGCACTTGGTCTAAACGCGACGAATATTGCAAAACGGCACTACCTTCGCTTGCTTCACACTCTGGAGGGTAGCCGTGCAGCGCCCATACATTCTCGGATCGACATGAATCCTCTGTTCTGCTACACGAACGGACGATGGCTATGGAATGAGCGTGAGCAACTGGAGGCCCGTTACCGACGTTTTGACGTATCTAGTCTTAAGCAAGCGGCTTGCCAAGCCGTCGGTGCGCACGAATGTGTATCTCTCGATAAGATCGGCGAAGGCAACTACAACAAGGCTTATCGCCTTGAAATGGACGATGGCCAAAAGATCATCGCAAAAGTTCCACACCCTAATGCTGGCCCATCAAAGCTTACTACGGCATCGGAAGTGGCAACTATGGAGTTTGCCCGGACGATTTTGAACATACCCGTCCCACGAGTTCTCGCTTGGAGTGCTACGGACCAAAATCCTGTCCAAGCAGAATATATCATCATGGAAGAAGCGAGTGGCTCCCAACTCCACGAGATTTGGCAGGATCTTCCACTACGGAAGAATGTTGACATTATTCGTGAGTTCGTAGATATTGAGAGGAAACTACTTTCAATCTCCTTCGATAAGTAAGATCAACTTGCGCCAACACAGAAATCGCGGTCAGTCCAACTTACACACACTATCAGATTGGGGTCATTGTATTTCAAAGATAGTGGTATCGCAGGATGCGAGCCGGCTGTCGTTACAAATGGTCCGCAAGATGTCGACAGTCACGTGGAATCCACTTATTGCATTGGACCTATTACTCAAAGAGAATTCTGGGCGAAGCAACGCAGTGATATGCAATATCATGGTCCATGTAAGTCTTCCATCGTCTTTAGAACTCAAATCTAGATTCACAACAGTTGTAGGGACATCTTCTGCAAAATATCTAAAGTCTATCGCTCGCCGTGAGATCGAATGGATCAATGCCTATGCGGACCCACAGGAACCGAGCAAAACTCCATGGCAGTACACGAGCCCACAACAGATGTCTCCGGAAGCTCATACAGCCCTGTTGGAAAAGTTCCTAGCCACAGTTTCATATATTACTCCTAAGGATCCAGAGCTTGCCTCTCCTAGACTTTGGCCCCCAGACTTCCACGCTGGTAACGTCTACGTCGACGACCAAGCCCGGATATCATGCATCATTGACTGGCAGGGAGCTTGGGCTGGCCCGATGTTTATCAGTGCCAATCCCCCATTGCTTCTAGACTATGGGATTGACATGTTGATGAAGCTCCCTGAGAACTTCAAAACACTCGACGATGCTACGAAGGATAAGCTCAGATACCAGGTGTCACAGTCTATCTTGATTCACACGTATGAAGAAACCACGGCGGAGAAGAACCCTCTGATGTACAAGGTTATGCGACATCCCCACGGTCAGACCCTAAAGCAATTAGAAGCTTTTGCTGGCTCTACCTGGGACAACTGTCTCTTTCCTTTTGAAGAATGTTTGATTCGCGCTGAAAGGTGTGTTGATCTATTTCCCATTATTTCCCCAGGCTGATCATTGTTGCAGGGAGTGGGGTCACTTTGATACAAACGAACCATGTCCGTACCATTTCTCATCAGAGGAGATACGGCAACACGACGAAGAGGCAGACTCTTTCAACAAGAGCCAGGAATTGTGGAAAGAGTTACAAGGTGTCTTGACTGATGAAGGTTATACGTCGAAGGAAAGTTATAGTAAGGCTGTCAATATACTCAAAGATTTGCGGGAAATGGGGCTGGGCAACCTCAAGGGCGAGGGACGATGCGACTTCGACAAAGAGACACGATGGGTCGCAGATCTCGATGAACATACAACCTAGCACTTGAATCATATACCCAAGAATATCAGACACGAGCCGCGTGGAAGGTGATGCTAAGATAAACAACGACTAGCTGTATAGCTATCAAGGATTAAGCCCCGGGAGGGGACGATCATATTACTCCTATCGCCTAAGCGATTGTACTCTGGCTTTGATAATGCAGCTCTCAGCTATCCAGTCGTCGCCACCGATGTCCACCGGAGTATCGTGATTGCTGTCGAATTTCCACGGACCTTGGTACTATTCTTAATGATGACGTGGGTACCAGTCTTGGTGCCACAACGAGCTACTATATTGCCTGAACCCTAGAAATTGTGACCGGTGCGAGGAAAATATGAGCAACGACCGTGGTGTACGGCTTGGAGAGCTGGTTCCGTAGTATCTCTCTACTGCTGATCCGCCACGGTTCTGGCATCAGAAAGTGATAAGACAGAAGAGTTTGGACCAGCTGATGTACCTGACGGTGAGCTACGGCTACTAGCTGCGAAAAAAGTGAGGTCTGTGCCAGTATCAAAGGTATCAGAGTCCAGGGGCGGTCATGCCGTTCCTTGCTCTCTAAGAGGAATAGGTCAGTTACTAACCTCATCGCTTCCTATAAGTGATATGTGACGCATCTTGCCTTTGTTACTAATACACTATTCAATGCTTACGGAGCGTTGCGTGGTGTTTCAGGGTTCTATCCAGCAGCGGCTGATGTAGGAGGTGTAGGCCGTCGATAATAATCAGCCTATGGCTACCCATCGTACCTGCCATGGTATGCTTAATAAAGTGCTGCGACCAGGCTAAACAAATTTCAATTCTTGTTGAGCCGTTGCCGCTAACACCACTTTGCCAGTCTTTTGGTTTGTCGTGATACTAGGTGCTATCGTGGTTCTTGGCTTTGAAGACGAAGAAGGGCGGGACAGCCCAGCCCTTCGCGTTGACTACTGCCATCAACGTAACCCACTCGCGATTTCTAGATTGAACGCCTATAGTCCGGCTACATCTTTCTGAAGTAGTAACAGCCTTTACTCCTCCTGCATCACCTATAGTGGAGCGAGCTGTATATGCATCATGAGCTACGCGATGTAGCTGTGCAATCACACTGCCACATCTACACCGCTCTCCCTTTATCGAATCAAGTTGCCGGTCAGCAGACATCATAGTTGGCCTCTTGTTAATCGTCGTTGAAACTGCGACTCAATACGGAGGGTTCACCGCCTCGGCGCTTCGCTACTGACTCGGGGATCGTCACTCACACGGAGGAGTCTCAACCCAAGATCGTACATGATTTCATTCGAGAAGAATCCCAAAGAATCTTCAGTAGCTTGCCTACTTGTAGCTAGGGTCTGTAGCGTTGAAAACATCGTAAACATAAGAAGTTTAACTAATCCTCTCTACTCGTCTACCAGCCAAGGAAGGTTCCCACCCGTCCTCTTCTCACCTCTTCTATGCACAAATCTAAAGAGCCTAGAGACCGCCTGCCCATTCGTACAAGTCGAGGTATTGATGGTGACACATTGCCCATCGTTGCAGCACAAATTCGTTACACACTTCTGGTCAGCACCACATTGCGCACTGCTCGTACACGGCACCGTCTCTGAGCAAGATATATCGAATAGGGAAACATCAGCGCATCCGACCGCGGTACCTTCAGTCGTGGCGAGGCAAGCGCAGGTTGCTGCTGAATCGCAATAGAAGCTTACGTTACATTTATCTGGTCGGATTCCTCCAGGGCATGTGGTCTGCGCTGGAGCCGGGGCACAGACTGAAGAGGTAGACGTTGTAGTGGTGGTCGTTGATGTAGTGGCGATGACTTGGTCCAGTGTGATCGTGGTGCGGGTGATGATGACCAGAGTTTGCGTGACGGTGGCGGTCACTGTAGGGACGTATGTGATGGTGGATGTTCTAGTCACAGGTACTGTTGGGCGAGAGGTGATTGTGGAGGTGCTGCAGCCGGGTGTTGTCTCGATGCAAGAGCACAGTGTCTTGACAAAGGACGCTGCTTGTTTCTGGAGAGAGCTGAAGATGGGCGCGAGTTTGTCCCCGTCAATAGTGCGCTTCTGCAAGGCTGCTGCGGGACATGCTGTTGTCGTTGCTGTCTCGGTGAGTGTTTCCGTTACAGTCGTCGGCGTAGGGGTACTAGTTTGCAGATTAGCCAATGGTTTTACATGCGATTCAGG